CCATCCATCATAAGATATTGCACAAACCATTGAGTTTAAACGAGCAGCGGACCTACTAAAAACCATTTATTATTTAATGGCCATAAAAATTATATTTATATTAAATTAATGATGTCTTCAAAGTTAAGTTATTTTTATGCGAAAAATTCTCTGATCAGGAAACACACGCCAGCCATTCAATGTGCTGCTCCACAATGAAAACAAGCTTAAGCAATGGCGTCGTTGAACAGTGCACACTCAGTAAGTAATTCTACAATTTTTTGTTTATAACATAGTTTATATGGATTATTCCCAAAAAATTATACATGTTTTGGAAATGTTGAGTCAAATTAGTCTAGAATTGATTAATTTTATGGAAGAAAACCTTTCAAACAGCCGTAGTCCATAAACTGCACACGTGCCGAGCTGTGATTGGCTCATGTATTTAAGTGATTGTAAAACACAAAATTTATGTAAAACAGATCATATCTACCGTATTATAGGAGGGGTGTACTGTATACTTTTCTGTAGCTTCAGTCTTATATTCTATTGAATATCCTAGAAAATGAAAAACTGAAGTTTCTATCATTAGATTTTTTTGTATTCAAATATGAAAATCTCATTTTTTTTAACTTTTCAAAGCTTCTTTTTATAATGACAAACTAAAAAAAAAATACATTACATGATTTATAAACATATGATGTAAATTTACATTTTAAAATTAAATTTTCTGCATTTAATATGTAAATCTGTAATATATTATTTCTAAAAAAAATCTTTGGAAAATTATTACACGTTTATGTTGAGCTCTTGACAAAAATTGATAAAATTTTTCTTTTGTTTAGTCAGCATAATATTAGTTTAAAAAAATTTTTTCAAGATAGCATAAAAGAAAATAAGTGAAGTAGTATTACGGTGACAATATGGAGCCACTAAAAGAATCTTGGTGCCAACTCAAGTAGAATGATCAGAGAGACATATAAGAACTCTCATCCTTTTGTTCATACCCACTATCATATGCTTGTACATGACTGTAATGAGAGCTAGTGTGTAAATATTGGATACAAATAAACAGCTTTTGTTAGTATTAGTTGTGTTTCACATGTCAAGACATATTCTAAAACTGATGGATGCATGTGGATTTAGTTGGATTGATATGTCTTGCCTCCATTGTCAATAAACACAATTTGTCTGAAACCCCAATAATCCATCAGAGTGGTGAGCCACACATCAAACAAAGACGACATTGTTAGATCATGATTAGCAAGGAATTTACTTCTGATGAAAGATTTCCATAATCCACAAGTAGGCCTGACACTTTTTATTTCCACCCTAATCACTCAGGCTAACAATGGCAGAAGGTGACTATAATAGAGCACAATACAACCCTTTTCAAACAACTCCCCAACTTTAGTTTGCCAACATCAGAGCACAATTTATATCTGTATAATAAAAGACATAACCCATTTTTACTCAGTACTATCAGCTTTAAATTTGGACATTTTAAATAATGTTAGCGATATTGTCCATTTGTCGTTCAATAACAGATAAAGAACATTAAAATATAAACTCTTAACCAAATTTCTGAATTCCAAACAAAGAAACAAAAGCTTGTTATCAGAGATAACTTTAGGAGATAACTGACCACACTTGCAAAATATAGCAATCCACAGCTACAATCCCTCATCGGATAGTAGCTGTGGATTGCTATATTTTTCCTGCCTTCGATAAGTGCGTATTCGGTAAAGATATTTTTATCAAATTGTTCTGTTTTTTTAAAAAAATTAAAGGGCTCTTTTCGGTTAATCGTTTGTGTTAGTAATGACCTGATATTAGCGTAAATAAAATTCTGATGAAATTTGATTTAATACATCCAGAGGGCGTTGTATTCCTTTAAAAAAAGAATGGATCGTTCGATGGTGGTGATCTCATGTATTTCGATTATTTTTTGATAAATTGATACAAAATATTCTCGTGCTAAGGAATACTTTAAGGTAATCGTTTATAATTTTTAAATAATGAATGCCAAACTAAATTTTAAAAAACAATTACCGCAGTATCTTCATTATTTTTTTCGTTTTGAAGTGTAAACACAGATTCCGAGAGTTTAAAGCCATAGAAATCAGAAACGAACTTGTTCTAATATAATAGAAAAATTGACGATATTTAAACAGAATTAGCTGAAGTGAATAATTCACTATTTGTACTCACACTTTCGTTCTCATCACAATTAGCATTTGTTTCCGATGTAAGGAATTGATGAAGTAGCTCAATGCGATTTTCTCATAGAACTTTCGTTTTTGAAAATGATTCTAAAGGCGGCTTCGTACATTTGGTATTCACAAAATGCCGAGCAAACAGTTGGTCATACCGAGTAGCATGGATGATTTACTTGTGATTTCCCTTGACAAATATTTGGTATTTGCTGTTTCCCACTCGTTGGTATATTGTGCCCAACGAAGGGAATTAATCTCGGACAAACGTATGTAATTCCCATGACAGACCAATGCTTGGCAAATAATTGCGCATGGAAATTAAAGGAGGCCTTGCAAAACGTCTTAAATTTTTACATTGGTCGTGATCAAAGGCATCAATACTTAAAGGACAGAGCAGGACATATCCCCGATATTTCTGTATTGGCAAATTGTCCTCCTCCCAAGATATATTTTTATTTCACACCATAATACAAAAATTAGGAATAGAAATTAATATAATTTCTATTCCTAATTTGGTAATTAAGTACACCGCACACAATGGATATACCTTATTTTTTTATATCCACTCTAATCTTAATGACAAATTTTTCTTTGTTCTATGCTAGGTATGTACTGCACCATTTGAATGGTGAAGATAAATAAGTGGGTCGCACCTGGAATAGCTGCAATTATGTGCTGTCTGGTGATGACTGTAGTGACTACGTTGAAGCAGATTCTTTTTGTTTCCTACAGTCTTTATTGATATTTAAGACATTAAATTCACATAAATTCAAAGTATTAATTGATAAAATATAAAGTATCATTACACACACTACAAATGTAATGTATCAGTGGTCATTTCATTGACTTTAACAGGGCCACAGCCCTGTTTAAGTTGTAAACTGTGGAGTCGCGTAAAAATCTACCGACTCCAACTTTGACTTCAACTTTTCCTTACCATCCAACTCCGACTCTGACCAGGGGCGGATTTGTTACTGAAAGAGACCCGGAAATTCTGATGTCATCACGTGACTTCAGAATAAAAGATTCAATAAATAGAGTTCTGATAAAGATAGAATGTAGAAACTTTTTATTCCAAAGCTAAAAGACTCCTCTAAGTAATATATAAATATGTATTTGATAATTTTTACTTTTCTGGCTGTTATATATAACAGAGGGAAAGTGTAGCACTCGGTCAAAAAATAACCCCTCCCAAATTTTTACATTTTTGGACTCAGGACACCTTGAAATTTCGAGATATGCAAAAGATTCAAGGTTTTTTCTATATGTGTGGATGTTAGACTGTGTGTGGGGGGCATGATTTCATTCATCCTGTTTGAAGTCTAAAAATTTCTGTGGACATAGTGGTTAGAGTCAGAGTCATATGGTTTAAACACAGGAGTTAGTTATTAAGCGTCAAAATAGTTGAACTAAATCATGTCCCCATTTGCATTCTAACATCTTAGGCGATAACATATTAACGGGTTTTACTATACTATTATAAAATGACAAAAAAGCTTACTTTGAGGGTAGTGACGAGTTTTATTCTATTTTTTAAAATTTTGAATGCTAATAACAAGAAAATATTCATTAAGAGATATGACACATGACCACTTTTATGTCTTCACCTTGTCAACCTTTAATTAAGAACCAAAAGTTTAATAGTATTAATGCCCCTATATACACAAGCTACAGTGCCACATTTTGTTTCTTAAACTTTATCCATTCTGAGATACTGTTTAATAGCTCAGAACAGAAAATAAAGAAATTAAACAAAATAGACGCCAACACATACACTTGTGCAAATTTTTCCCGTTTTATTGGTTTTTTGAGGGGTTCAGGAGGTCTCCAAACATGTAGATTTGCAAAAGAAACTTGGAAGGTCAAATTTGACACGATTCCAATACTTTTCCATTTTATATACCAGTACATAACATTTTGGTAAGTAAAAAGGAGTCGGAGTCGGCAACTCCAACTCCTTTTTTGACGACTCCGACTCCACAGCCCTGAACTTAAACATACATTAGATGAATAAGTTATAACTAATGGCATTATTATAAAAAATTAATGAGTTCAAACAATATTGCAAAACCATTGATTTCATTTTTAGGAGTTAAACCAAAAATGATGTAACTTTAAGAGATAGAGTAATCGAAAGGATGTCACTTTGTAGCTGTCGAGGAGGATGAGGGATAAAAAAATTGCAGAAAATGGAATGTCATCAGTGATGCATCCAGAGGTGTGCCAAGGTGTCTTGGCACCCTCCAAAGGAAAGGGGAAATAACAATAGAAAATTTTCCAAAAATCTTTTCATAAGTGAAATTCATTTTTTCTTTTTTTATAGTGTCATGTCTTTTATACTACTAATGAATTAACAGTTACATAAGGTGGAAATTTTATTGAATAGGCATTAAAAATTTTTTTATCTGTTCAACTCTGCTCTCTCCAAGATTAAATCCTTGTGCAACACTGGATGTCATAATTTATGGATGAGCTCTATGCCAACAAACTATTAACACAAGCAATCATGTTCATTAAAATGAGTTACAAAAAAAAAAGAAAACTGTAGACATCTAGTCATAAGTTTTTTTAACATAATATGATTAATAATAATAATCAAATGTGGAGCTCTACTTTGTACACATTTCTTAAATGTGCATACAAATTTTTCTTCAAAGTAAAAACTTTGTCATTCATCAAACATAACAAAGCATCCATGATTATACATTGATGTTTTGTACTAGTAGTTACTAGTCACCAGATGCCATAGTAATTATTTTTACGGGTGGATCATGCCTGGAATAGTAGCAAATCATTGCAGCTATTCCAGGCGTGATCTGCTTGTGAAGATAATTCTTTGCCTGACCGTGGTGAACCAAACTGACTGGCCTGACCCTCCCATTCATATTTATGCCAATGATTATAATACTAATGTACAGAATTGTTAATATTGATATCTCAAACTGTTGCATTTTTCACCTAAGTTTACAAAAGGTTTTTTTACTTAGTATGATGTGTACTATCTACCATATAAATGCTAAATACATTTTTTAAACACCCTGTATAAATATTTTATTCTATACCATGCAAAGAATATGTACTCAGATAAAACATACAATGCATTTAATATAGTTGATCATCTAACAATAATGCAGAGCAACAAAAACATTTGACTTCTTTCTCTTTGTTATCTAGAATGGTCAGATAGTTTGGTTTTTGAGCATTTTTGTAAATTATTTTAACTTGCTAAAACCTTTTATTTATACATATTTTTAATTATCATTATTAATATTGTTGTAAGTACAATTAATGGATTTATAATTAATTTTGAGATTATTGGATCAGACCCAATTCAGATTAATTAATAAAAATCCAGATAAACTGAAATATTGAAATAAAAGTCTAAAATTCAATACTGAATGTGAACTTGCATTAGGGTTTGGGAAGTCTTGACATTCTCAAAGTCCCAGGACACGAGACAACCCACGATCAAAATCCTGGGACGTACCGGGACTTCGAGACTTCTCGGAATAAAATTAGAATTGAGTTCATTTTTGGCGCAATGTGTTAATAAAAAGGCAATTTTAGTAAAAATCAACATTTATAGAACATAAAATCAAATCCTAACATTTATAACGTTAATTAAAGTCTAAACAGTTCGTATGTTTAATTCTTATAATCATAGATTCGTTTTTTGGCAGTAAAATCTTAAAATTATAAAACCAACTTAGTAATCATACTAATCATTAATAATCATCACCTAGTTTCTATTCATTAGTCATTTAAATAAATAATGAACTAGCAATTATGCATCTTTTCTGATTTAATAAAATAGGCATTTAAAAACATCAGAGCATTTATAGTTTGTTTGACAATCTGTTTCTGACTTTTGTAATAATGCGTCCGGATAAGGAGAACGCAAACTCATTTTCAACAGATGTCGGTTTTATTGTGTTTAAAGCTTTATAAAGTAGTTCCAAACTTTCAGTATGTTTTCTGGTTTCTTCAAATAATTGGAACTCCTTTTTTAAGCTGCTCTTGATCTTTTTGCAAAAATTCCGGGCACATTTTCTTTGATTTTTTTGATTGTATATTCCATTTGACTTTGAAACGACTCATTAGGTTCGTTGTGTACTGTAGAGCTACTGGTACTGGGTTCGGCGTCCATTATTTCCAAATCTGGCATTTGGATACGAGGGATATTTTCAAAAAGTCTGTAATGCAGATCTTCCGCAAAAACAATAAGTGCAGTTTTATTCAAATTCGAAGTAAAAAAATCCGTATTTTACGATTGAGCTGTGGTGGCCAGTGTGCAAATATTTTAACAAACATTTAACAGAGTAAGGTTAAAAGTCACACAGCCTTGTAAATTACCCCACCTGCATTGCTTATTTGTAAACAGGAGGGAGAACAAGAGAAGCGTCGCTCGGCTAACCTTTTGAAAATAAAATTTCGAAAATACAATTTTGATAAGCGTGTCTTGAGTCTTGATCCGAATGTCCCGGGACCTGAGACAATTAAATTTAGGAAAAGTCTCGGGACTTCGAGACACAAGACGTCCCAGGACGCAAACCCTAACTTGCATGCTCTACTGACTTTTAAACAATAGGATCATCAAAATTACTAGTATGTATTTGCAAACATGAGATTGCTACATAGGCACATATTAAAGTTCTAAATAATGTTTCAGTTAACTCAGAAACATTCAGAAAATAATTTTCCCACAAAATGTGTAAAAATTTAAAAAGATAAACTATTGAAACCAGTTCAGATAAATGTGATTTGACTGTAATTATAAT